GAGCCTCAGGCCACTGGGAATCAGTGTAGAGAAGAGAAGGTGATATTCTCTTGACTGAGCTTCTGGTGGGTGTCCCACGGGGCACGGCGTTTCACAGGTGGGGTGTCCTGAATTCCTGGTGCAGGACAGGTGAGCGCTGGCCTGGGGCAGGGGGGGGTGTGCTGGGGCAGGGGTGGATTAAGGAACAGGCTAGCATAACCTGTAGCCTGTAGCCTGTAGCCTAACCTGACTTGCTGGGTTTTTTTTTTTTAAACGGACCTGTGGGTCCCCATTGGTCCATTAAAACGTTGAATAATTTGTGAACCAATGATTGGTCAAATGCAACAGGTTCGCATTTCAAATTTATTTTGGCGGCTTCACCGGGCGATCTCTGGTGCACGTTTACGGTGGCTAGCCTCAACAGGTGCGATAGCAAATATGATAGTGGGGCGCAAAAACGGCACCGTGAGCAGGATCTACTTCAAAAGAGCCCCAGATTGAGCCAGCTCCCGCAACGGGATCAAAGGAACACGAGTCGCGGGCAGAGCCATCTGAAACGCCACCACCATCCCCACAAGACCAACGAGCCGTGTCCGAGCCGCCGCCGTGACTGTTGCACCTGCTACCGTGGGGCCAACAGAGACTGCAACACCGGCTCCCGCTTCCTACAGCTCGGCCCCAGGATGCGGAGGTGAAATAGATGAGCAGAGGCGGCCATACTGAGCTAAACTGGGCCCGAAATCGTGTCAAAACCAAGACGCGGAGCTTGCAGCATCGGAAAGACAACATAGACACCAAAAGAGGTATTTCTCTGAAACCCTCTTCAAAAGAGAACTCGGAAATGGCCAGTGTGTGGCAAGAGAATGGCTGCTGGTGTTTTTTTTCGCATGTAAATTATTTGGGGGCGGTGATAATCAGTCCGGACTGACCGCAGGCTGTAGTGATTGGGAAAACGCCGCAGCACGCCTGGCTGAACACGAAGTGTCGGAGAGCCGTAGAAAGGCTGGGGTTGCATAACGCTATGCGATGTGCTGATTGTGGTCGAATAGATTCAGAACGATAAAGACAGTTTGAAAGTGAATATGAGTATTGGACTAAAGTCTTGAAAATGGCGGTAGCAGTGGTGGTTTTTAGCTGAGCGAGGGCTGCCTTTTAGGGGGGCGCAGAGAAATGTTCGGGCGCCCCGACAACGGGAACTTCACGGGTGTCCTCGAAGTCTATCAGCGAGTTTGATCCCTTCTTGACAGCCCATCTAGAAACATATCTCCCCGTCGATGCCGTGTAATGACTGGTTTGAGTCTATTGACTGCAGTGGACTCGCACGAGTGGGGAGTGTCCTGCTGTTCTTGAAATAACGCGCTCAAACGGGGTGGTCGCTGGTCTCGGCTGTGCGTGCGCAGGATTTCTGTTGTCAGCTCGCAGGTGGGCTGTGAATCTGATTTATTGGTTGCATTGCTGTACTTGCATTACAGTCTGCTGTAGTGTGTGTGTATTTGGACTCCCCTGTGTAATGTATGTGTTCTTACATTCCGCTTGAATCGGCGGTAGCAGGCTCGTACTCCGAACGCGTCACTGAATTATTACAGGATTTTCTCTCGCTTTTTTCTAGTAATTGGATGGGGGGGCCTCTGATCACCTTAAACCGACACTGGCTGAGGGTTTGGGTGTGTGTGCTGGGGCAGAGGGTGTGTGTGTGTGTGTGCGTGCTCTGGGGGAGCTGGGAGGTGTGTGTGGCTGTCAGTCAGAGGCTGGTCAAGGCGCTGGGGAAGACTGAGGAGAGGCTGAGGAATGTGTACCCTCGCCTGCTGCCTCTGCAGAGCCGCACGTAGCCCAGTCCCTCCCCCTGCACAAGGGCTCCTACCGGGTTGGTGGCTTGGACTGCACACAGGTGGGGGGACTGGTTCTGACCAGCTTGGAGGGGGAAAGATACACAAGTGCAGCTGAATCTTCTTACCCCTTAAAAAATACACCCCATTCCAATTTTCTAGGATTTCAGGAAATGTTTTGGAATTGGAGAATCCCACGATTTATGCCTAATCCAGTCTCTCCTCTGAGCTGGAAACAGTACAGACTGTCCATGTGCTGTAGAAGGCCAGGCTGCCAGTGCTGCCGTTTGTAACTGCTCCTGTTTGTGCTTGGTGTTGTACTGTGCTGTATTTGCATCACTGTACCAAGACTATTTATCTACTATAAGTTCACTGCAACTTAATAATAATACTGGCTACAGAATTGCTTATATTGTATGTCTCATTGCTACAGTATCTTTGCATTCTGTGTTTCTTTCATTACGGCGGATGTACTGTATAGTTGTATGTAGAAATGAACTCAGTCACGCAGAAGCGACAGCGGACGTGAATACCGCTGTTCTTTTGCGAAGGTAGCAGCTCCGCCCGGGTCCGTCACAAACGGCGCAGACGTGTCTCTTCGCCGGGACTACAAGTGCTCGCGGAGGAAGCAGCCGGGAACGCGCTGTTCTGTGTGCAAACCGCTGCCCACGCGCTGAACGCCCCCGACGCGAGACCGGAAGCTGTGAGAATGGCAGGACTAGCAGCCGCAAGAACGAACAGAAATCAAGACATATCTGTGTATGACTTCACCGTGTCGGTGTGTTACATTAGATTTGACCTGCAATTGGAGAGAACACGATTTGATTACATCCTGCACCTATAATATGCCCATCTGCTTAATTCAAATGCCCTGTAAATGTTCTTTGAAAGCACGGTATAAACGTATTATTGCGTGATTTCGGTTGAAGTTGTAAAATTTACTACAGTTAAAATTGTTGCTGTCAAAGCGTCGTGGTATTGAATATACCCACAGCCCGAGCCTCCAGTGCAGATACAGTTTAAACTGTCTGCTGCAGGCCCTGCAGGATGCTCGAGGCTGTAAATGCTGCGGGGTTAGGGCCTGCTCTGTTTTATGCTCGGCATTGTGCCACTTTACCTGTCGGCTAAGTTTCGGGGCTATGCGTTTCAAAACACCCCGGGACGGGTAGGGGTACGCCGTGTTTATTTGCCCGTGCGCATTTCACACCCCCTGTTCGCGTGTGGAGGTCGAGACGTAAGAGATGGGAGGGGAGGATGCGCGCGCGCTGCGTGCCTGTTGGTATTGGGACTCGTGGCGTCTTGTTTTTTTCACGTCAGCCTGCGGTCCGCGAGAGAACAGGCTGTGCTCGGCACTTCCTCTTTCTACAGAACACGCGTTTCTGCCAAAACACGTTCAGGTCCTCTTAGACATTACTAAAACGCACAATTTGTACTACTGTACCTTACAGCAATGCATTGTTTCCTACAGGTTAATTACACTACAGAGTCTGGGTTACAGTTTGCAAGAGCTATAATTGCAATACACTTCGAAGACAACTGTTTTATGCCTGAACCTTTGCATAATTTCCATCCATCCATTCACTAACCTGTTTATCAAGTATAGGGTTGCAGGGCAGCCTGGGCCTATCCCAGCAAGCAACAGGCACAAGGCAGGGTTCACTGGGCAGGACATCAGTCCATCACAGGCAGCACACGCACCAGGGCCAATTTCTCAGAAGCCAATTAACAGACCAGCATCTCTTTGGACTGTGGGATGAAACCCAGGTGAGCACAAGGAGAACATACAGACTCCACACAGACACCACCCCAGGTCTGGAATTGAACCCGAGGCACCAGTGCTGACCAGTGCACCACTGGGCCACCTCTGTTGCAGAATTGCCTTTGCAGTTGTAATTACACTTATTGACATATTGCTTAATTGCAGTTCAATCGAACTGTTGTCTATTTTTTGGTGTTAAATCCTTTACACATTGCTAATGGGATTTTCCCAGTTGTTCATCAATATCATTGTCGGGTTTGTATTGCTGTGGTGTCACTCAGTGTAACTGACACTGTAGTGGAAAATGACGCACTTCTGCTCCAGAGGTCATTTAGAAGTTTTAATTGTATTACACCTAACGTCTTTTATACCGTCCAACATCGGCAGTAGCAATACTCTGGTTTAATGGCTCTATGTGCGTTTTGAACTTCAAGAACGAGAGCGTGCAGTTCTGCTTCTCTCCACTTGGCGGCGGTGTGTGACGCTCTTTCGCCGAGCCATGGGTACAGACCGTCCCCTAGTTCAGGCTCTGGAGCTGCATCAACAGAAGAAAGCAGAAGTTGGGATAAACAACTGAGTTGCGCAATATTATCACTTTTGTTTTTCAAACTGGGATTGATATTTCTTAGGCGTGGTTCGCCTTCCAATGAATTTTCTCGTCTGTTGTTGCAAGAACACCTTGCCAAGTCACTTGTCTTTAAATGTGAAAGTAAACCTGCGTGATGTTCTAAACACGGGACCGAGATCAGCGTGAAAGTACAATGCATTTTGTGTGCATTTCCTGCATATACCAAACGTCATGTATCGTGCGTGCATTAATATTAGCCTTTGAATTCGGCCACAATCCAGTGCATTGCAGTGTAGGGCTTGTAATCTGTTGTCAAGTCTGTAAATTGGATTTGTTGTGGAGGCAAATAAATGCCGTCGTGTTTTTGTACTTTTGCACTGCAACTTTTTTGTCTTTGCAACTTTGCTGGGTCGATCCAGAGAACAATTAGCACAATGTATAGAAGAAAAAACCCTGCAGTCTTTCGAGATGAAATGGGCACCTATTTGATGTGTGTGCATGAGTTTCAAAGACTGTGCGGCGTATGTTATTGTGGAGACAGGGGTCTATAATATTTCCTAATCCACATGACGCGCTCTGTCTAACGCTGTTACAACCTGTCTGCTGTAAAATTGCTGTGTTGTTATGATGCACATACTGTACAGTAATCGCTCCCTGCTCAGTTTTGTCTTCATACACAGAACAGTCTCGGTCTACAATTGGGATGTTCTGCTGATCTGGTCCCGTCCCTCTGCGCCAAGACTGTTCTAGCTGCGACTTCAAATCTCTTGTGACCGTTTCAATAATCTTTCCTGCAGAGTTGATTTTACACCTCAGCTACCTATAACTACCAGGTGACACAAGATAGTTTCAGGACTTGGACACACGAGCCTGCTGTGTTCGTCCTCATTGATAAGCATACTGTAATTAGAGGAGACCCAAGCCCAAGCGATGTTTCAGTCCAAAACATCATTTTTCTGAACAATCGTTAGTGAGTAAATTTCCCAAGTCTTCTGTCCCAGTGTCCTTCACGCCCAAAATCCCCTTTAACCCGTGACCTCGTCGCTCCATCCGTTTATTTTCTCGTCAAAGTTCCAAGTGTGATTATTTTTTTATGGTCCTAACTATATACTCAAACGCCAACCACGGGTTTCATGGTTTAAACCTATAATCATCAATCAAGAATATCAAGGTCAAGAGCAATGAGAGGAAAGGTCGTTATCAGGAGTGTCAGTTTTGTGGTGAAATGTTTATTCCTGGGGGTATCTCCGAGGCTGGGTCTGGGTTACACACACACACACACCCTGCTGTGTGAGCTTCTGGAGGGGCAGTCGGTTACCGGAGGGTCGGGGCTCGCGCGCTCCTTGGGCAAGGGAGGGGAGCACCTGGTCTCGCGGCCCGGAGTCTGAAACGCGCCGTCAGGCTCCTCTCGGACACCGACTGACCGAGCGCCGCTGTCCGCCGCGGGAAATTTCCACCTCGGGCTGAGCAAACGTTCATTCGAGTGCTAGGCATGGCGCTTTTGAGGTTATAGGCGGCCGGTGTCAGTTTTCAGTCTGTTTTGCCTGAGTAAGCATGCCCGTGTTTCTGCGGTTTGACGCCGCCGGGGTCGGTTTTCACAAGGAATCTGATGACTTAATCGTAGCTGGCTGGCACAGCTAAGTGGGAGGT